AAAGCTTGGTATTTCTACCACTCGTTCGATCTTTTTTGTATCTTTTGTTTGTTGCTGTGCTGTAGTATCAAGCCACAGATCTGGTCATTCCTGAGGAAGGAAAGCTGGAATTGAGGTTTACGCCAAAGAGTGGGAAACCCATCAATCTTGAGGTGTTTGATTTCCAAAATGGCGGCGGCGTTGGATTGGCGATGTACAATACGGACGAGGTATGTGGCTTAGCTTAGAAGAATATTTTTAGTGGTTTGTGACTTGAAGAGTCATTTAGGATGGGATTATTTGTGGGCTTCTGCTATTGCACAGAGGGGAATTTCCTGCCGCTGTTGCCTTGTGTTCTCTTCTTTGCCATCATCACGTGGTGTGCTAAAGCTCAACTTCTTTCACCAGCTTACTCGTACCACTGAGCCGAATCAGAGGAGGAGTTACACAACCTATGGATACAAACGGCTGATTGACGTGGCTTTGTGTGCGTTTGAATGAGTCATGCTAGCATATTTTGATTTTGATAGCTGTCTGATGCGTTAGTGCTCCTCTTCAGTGAATTATTTTGGGTAATTGGCTTTAAATTTGGCAAAGTACTTCACAAATCTAATAAAGGCTCTTATCCATGTCACAAGTGAAAAAGGGAACTGCTGCTTATTTGTCTTCCCGAATACCAAACAGATGGTGATAAACTTCTGCACTCGTTTTATGGCTGGTTGAGAAGTTGGTTCTTTTCCTACTTAAATTATAAGTGTTTCCGGCTTCAAAATTCATTTCATTATTTGATTCGTTGTTAGAGTATTCGAGGATTTGCCAACAGCTGCTTCAACTATGCACTAGCAAAGAAGTGGCCCCTTTACCTGAGCACAAAAAATACAATTCTGAAGAGTTACGATGGTCGATTTAAGGACATTTTTGCGGAGATATACGAATCGTAAGAACAAAGCCGAATTGCTTAGTTGGTAATAGTGTATTCGATGGGAAATGGTAAAGCTTTTGGCGTTCGTGTTTCTAGGACGTATCGCAGGGACTTTGAGGCAAACGGAATCTGGTACGAGCACCGACTCATTGACGATATGGTAGCACAAGCGCTCAAATCCTCCGGAGGATTCGTCTGGGCATGCAAAAACTACGACGGTGATGTTCAAAGTGATGTGGTTGCTCAAGGTGTGTTATCGTCGCTTGCTATAATTGATTCTAAATCTACAGAGATGCATTTATGCCCACGATTTAGGTCCCTTCATTTCTTCAGGTACGAATTTAATGCGTTCAGATCACGTAGTTAAATACGAAGAGGTGGGTATTACCTGTTTCCCGTGACCGAAGTTACGTCAAGGCCTTTGCAAATCGCAAAACACTCCTAATGGCAGCTGCATGACCGATTCAGTTATGTTATGAAGATCTCTTAAATAAGCATGATCGTCATAAAAAAGTAGGTTAACACAAACAGTAGACCGTGTAAGTTTTCTGATAGCTCCAACAGGCCTAAATGCAATCGTGGGTAGTTCGGAGATGACCAGTACGGAGGGTCAAAATGTTCGCACAATTCCCAGTACAGCCAAG